CCTATCTCCGGGGTACCCAGCACACTTGGCATGGGGGACTGTTAATATAACAGCTGCCGTACTCTGTTCCATGTTGTGAGCATAGAAATTTCCGGATATTGCAGAAAAAGGTCTTGGATGGATGGATGGATATATACGACACCGATATGGTGATGAAAGGTCGAGAGCAGGGGCTGTGGGCGACGGGGATAGCCAGTTTCAATACTGTTACTACCGGAGAGCGCGGATATCTGTGTTTTACAGCATGGCAGTACTTGCGGATTAGCAGACTGATCCCAAATGACAGATTGCTAGAAGGGGTTGATGGCAGGCGACGTACGGACGGCACAGCATCGTAGTTTATGTTGTCGGTAGATGGTGAGGGGAACGGTGATATGGATGGGAAGAGAAATGGATATATGTAGAAGCTCACGATCTATGCAGTTCCATGAGTCGCAGCAGCTTTTACCGTGAGAGTCCAACTACATCTCATCCTTTCGACATCACCACTCTGCTCACCAAGAAAACACATCACATCCAACATCCTCGGCCCCAGAACATCAATGAAAACCATTAATTCACAACCAAAAATTGCGACACCGAAACATCCAAAGAACATTTAGTAGAGATCCATAAAAGTCCTCGTTGTGCAATGAGAGCCCAGATCCCCAGAGCTCACTACTTTTTGATCCAGTGAGTCGCGTCAAGACAAGTATGAAGAAAGAAAAAGAAAAGATGGGAGGTGATGGGGGGAGGGTGGGGGGTGGGGTGTTTATAAAGGTGTTGGAGGCTTGGCATTAGGGTTGCATGCCCTGTCACTCGTGGGGGGGGGGGGGGGGGGGGGATCGGCCAAATTTCGTGCAAGTACTTAACGGATTCCGACTTACAGCAATTAAACACCAAGTGACATTTTCAATCTGTTTAGAATTTACTATACTAAGAAAAGCCACAGCACAAGTCCCGAACTGTTGCATGGATATCCGGTGGCGAGTGGCAAAGGCCGCGTAACAGTCGCCACCACTCTCTTGTATATATTTCGAGTCTTTCTCTCTCTGTACCATAGTCTATGCACACGGTTCTCCCCTTCCATATCGCAATACGAACGCCCCAGAATATAACGAGTGATATTCCGTGAGCGAAGGGCCATTTTGCAAGCAGAGCTGGTGGTTGGCAATCTCTCGAGCCACTGGGGGAGATCAACGGCTTCCAAGCTACCCAAATTAACATAGGTACAATACTTCCAGTATTCTAAACTAGCCATGGTATAATCCCGAGACTTGAGTGGCTATTAGACGAGACATTTACTAGCCGAGGCGGGCTTTCCTCAAGTCCCGCCCCGTCTCAATGCTAGCAGGAATAAAAAAGGCCTTTAGGATACATCCGTGGGGTACAAGCCGGAATGAAAGGAAAATGTAGGTCTCGTTTGAGGAGTTGCGTGATCACTCATGACAGTGCTTATTTTCTTCTAGCCTCGGATTCCTACCGTACGCAGCGAAGGGGGTCTTCCGTCTGTATTCTTGGGGGTATAAGCCTGGATGTAGGATCATTGTAAAGAATGTAAAGAGAGGTTTTGATATCTCCCCTTGAAAATAGGTTTAAATGGCAAAGTGACCTATTTATAGCGCCTGCTACTTCCAATAGCCCCTGCCCTTCTGAGGTCTTGTACAAGATGATAGAGGCCATTGCATGTACAAGAATTGATAGCTTGGCTTGACCGGTATGGTGCTACAAACACCAGGTGCTGCAAACACCAAGCGCGGGTTCGAAACTCCATGGATATGATGCTCTAAACATCAGAACACAGCCAAGGTTCAAAACCTCATAGCGCTACAAAACACCAGACTACGGGTTTCAAACCTGCAGTTTGCCCAGTTTTTGCCCTTCAAGATCTGGTTGAGGTTTTGTACAAGACGGTAGACGTTGCTGCATTTACAAGAGCTGATAGCTTAGCTTAACTGGTGCAATAAACACCAGCTGACCAGGTGCTTAAACACCAGGGTTCGAAACCTCACAGCGCTATAAACGCAAGTGCTACAAGCATTGGTGCTGTACGTAAACATTATAACGCTCTAAGCGTCAGACTTAAAATCTCAAGGAGCTACAAACGCTAGGCTACGGGTTTCAAACCTGTTACTTTTGCCCTGCTTTTGCCCTTCGAGATCCAGCCTGTAGCTGGGCTTGCTCAAGGTGGTGGAGACCGTTCCATTTTCAAGAGCTGCAAACTTAGCTTAGCCGGTGCAATAAACACCAGGTGTCCAGGTGCTGTAAACATCGGGGTTCGAAACCTCATGGCGCTCTAAACGTCAGGGCATGGGCGAAAAACATCATGGCTGCAAACCTCACTTTTGTCCTATTTTACCCAAGATCAGCTTTGGTCTTGAACAAGATGGCGGAAATCGTTGCATAGGTATACAAGAGCAGATATCTTAGCTTAGCCGGTGCAATAAACCCGGGTGCTGTAACACCAGTTCGAAACCTCCAGTCAAAGGCGCTTTAAACGTCAAGATACAGGCTGAAAACCTCATGGCGCTACAAACGCTAGACACGGGTTCTAAACCTGTCACTTTTGGCTCTGCTTTTGCCCTTCTAGATCCAGTCTTGGTCTTGTACAAATTGGTGGAAATTGTTGCATATATCAATAACAGATAGCTTAGCTTAGCCGGCATGGTGCTATATAAACACCAGGTGCTGCAAATACCGGTTCGAAACCTTATGGCCCTCTAATGTCAGGTCGTCCATCAAGTGCTGTAAACACTGTGGTTCAAAACCTAAACCTCATGGCGCTACAATCGCTAGACCACCGTCCAGTGCTCACTCTTTTGCGCCTTTGGGATCCAGCTAGACTTTGTACAAGATGGTAGAGGACGTTGAATGACCAAGCGCTGATAGCTTAGCTTTACCGACATGGTGCGATAAACACAGGTGCTATAAACACCAGCCGGGGTTCGAAACCTCATTACGCTTCAAACGTCAGGCATGGGCTCAAAACCTCATGGTTCAAATTTTTATATATGATGTTTTTTTATCATGTTGTACGGGATCTGAACAGGGGAGGGGATGTCGAAGAGCAAGACAAAAGAGTGAACCCTGGAGGTTTGGAACCTGTGGTATAGCCACGGCCTTTGTAGCGCTATGAGGTTTTAAGCCTGAGCCGTGTTCTGACGCTTGTAATGTCCTGAGGTTTTGAACCCGGGTGTACTGGTGTTTAGAGAACCGGGTGTTTATAGCACTGGTTAGGCTATGTCCTGAGGTTTTGAATCCGGGTGTACTGGTGTTTAGAGAATTGGGTGTTTATAGCACTGGTTAGGCTATGTCATCAGCTCATGTATATTCGGTAGTTTCCACCATCTCATACAACACCAAAGCTGGATCTCGAAGGGCAAAAGCAGGGCTAAAATAAAAAGTCATGACAGGTTTGAAGCTGTGGTCTAGTGTTTGAAGCGCCATGAGGTTTTGAGCCCGTGTCCTGATGTTTAGAGCGTCTTTAACTTGGAGGTTTCAAACCTGTTGTTTGTAGCACTTGGAGTGCCAGTGTTTAGAGCACCATAAGGTTTTACCTAGGACGTTTAAAGCACCACCATAAGGTTTCGAACCCCGGTGTTTGCAGCACCTGGTACCGGGTTAAGCTAAGTTATCAACTCTTAGAAATGTGATAATTTCCACATTCTTATATATACAAGCCTCAGCCGGATCTCGAAGGGTAAATAAAAAAAGCAGGGCCAAAAAGTGGCAAGTTTAGGACCCGTGGTTTAGCGGTTGAAGCGCCATAAGGTTTAAGCCATGAGATTTTGAGCCATGAGGTTTTCAGCCTGTATCCTGATGTCTGGAATGCCTTTGAATTGTAGGTTTCGAACCCCGGCCCGGTGCTTACAGCACCTGCAGCTGGTGTTTATTGCACCATACCGGCTAAGCTAAGCTATCAGTTCTTGGAAACGCAACGCCCTCTATCATCTTGTACTTTACAGTGCCGTGCAAAATTACAACCTGGTCGAAAGTAACCTATACTCAACAACCACGCCCAAGAAAGCCTAGCTGGATCTCGAAGGGCAAAAAGCAGGACAAAAAGTAACAGGTTTGGAACCCGTGATCTAGCGTTTGTAGCGCCATGAAGTTTTAAGCCTGGTGTTTATAGCACATGGACGATCTCGCGTTTAGAGCACACTGAGGTTTCAAACCTGGTGTTTATTGCACCGGGTGTTTATAGCACTTGCACGATTTGGCGTTTGTAGCGCCATAAGGTTTTGAGCCATGAGGTTTTCAGCCTGTATCCTGACGTTTAGATCGCCTTAGACTTGGAGGTTTCGAACCCGGGTGTTTATAACAACTGGTGTTTATTGCACCGGTTAAGCTATGCTATCTGTTGATATTTACGAGGATATTTACCATCTTGCACAAGACCAAAGCTAATCTTGGGCAGGGCAAAACAGAGAGCGTGTAGGTTTTGAGCCGTGTCCTGCGTTTAGAGCGCCATGACCAAAGTGAGGGCTCCACCCACCAGAAGGACCAAAACATACCCGCCCAAGGGTGCAGTCCAGATTAGTTTAGTGTTTGATTTAAGTGTAGTTACGGCTTGGGCTGCAATTCCCTCCACTTGTTTTAGACAGCGAGGCTTGTCTTCACCTCTCTTGTGTGATTCAGGTCACAACGTTAACCCGTCCAGTCAAGAATCAAAATATGCTTCTTGCATCGAGGAACATATACTCAGTGATTAAAGCGCTGGATTCCCTATACTACCGGCACGATACCTCGGCCGAAGAAAGCAAAACAATCCTTCATAGCTCTACAGCGCAACAGGGAGGAAGCCATCCACAGAACACACTCACCAGAAACGCCCCGTGCAAACGCCAGGGTCTATGGTCTTTCTTAGCATCGTTTCTCTCCAGTCAACATTGGCAGCCATGCAGATCATGTTCAATTGGTTGATACCCTCCGGAGATTATCGATGGGATCCTTTTGACCGCATGAAAAATGTCTTGAATGCCCAACTCGAGCAAAATGTCACATCTACCAAAATGCCAAAATGATTCAGCCTGGATTTGAACCCCGGTCGGGCGCAGAATTGCTGGATGGCAAGCGCCCATGATACCCCTACACTACTGAATCGAGTGATGTTGCGTGACAGGTTCTTTTTTTAATACTATCGCAAACAAAGCTGAACACTATGCGGAAAAAACACCAGAAAGAAGATGACTACTGCGATAATACGATCAATATGGTTGTGGAAAGTTGGTATGATCATGGTAAGGCTAGATCCGTTGGACCATCCAATATTGCTTCGCATCCTATGAATGATATTTCATGTTTGTAAAACATTCGTTCACAAAGATCGGTTGAAATAGTTGAAATAACTAATCACAACTTTGGGATCTTGGAGGCAAGTTCACCCATTTCTCACTAAAGCAGTTTCAAGACATATAGAGGTTTGTGACCCGCTGCGGCAGCACTAGCAATGGGAGGATCAGAAATCGCGGCAAAGTGAGTAGTACTGGGAGAAACGGCGAGTTCATAACGTAGTTTATGCCCCCCATGGTGTTCTCTGGCCCCCGGCGCACAGTTTGCGGAAGGGATTGCACTACGTATTTCTGAATATTTGAACCCATTCACAGAATAGGTACTTCACAGTATCTCACGCACCATGAGTATATTTCGCCTACGACCTTAGCCACTCGGCCTCACCTTCTACGACTCTACGTTTCTCTACTTTAGATTCTCAAAATTACAATATTACTTTACTCCTATCACTCCTCTTCGGATCCAAAACTCAAACCATCCATTAAACAGGCGTAAGCGTGATATCATCCAAAACCAACTCCCTCACCGCCCCAGCCTGGAACGGAGTATCAGGACACCTAACCGTGATAGCAAGCGTCTCGCTCTCCGAAACAGCCGTATACGCCCCATCGTACTGTTGCCACCCTGTGAAGAACCCCGGCGGCGACAACGCCACGGTCTGGCCACCGATGGCAAATGTAGCAGTACACTGCGCGCCCTGGACTGGATTCCTAACCCACGCAGAAAAGTTGTACGTGACACCGGGACAGAGACTGACCGTCTGACCGAATGTGTGGAATGAACTGGCGGGCGGGTTGGTACCCGTGATACGTACTCGGTAGAGAAAATCTCCGGAATGTGAAGGGGTGTTTGGGGTTCCAAAGATGATGGTACCGGTGCTGGGTCCAGCAGAGCCGGGAACGGTCCATGGTGAACCGGCACGCTCGAAACCGGGGTTGATAACGGCTTGGGTGGAAGTGCAGGCTGGGGGGTTGCTGGGATGTGTTAGCAGGGTGCGGAATAGAAGGGGGTGGATGGAAGTACTTCGTTGGAGTGCAGGTTTCTACAGTGGTTGTGGTGGTGGTTCTCAGTGCTGGTGGTTGTCTCAGTGCTGGTGGTTGTCTCAGTGCTTGTAGTAACGGAGGTGCTGGTGGTTGTCTCAGTGCTGGTGGTGGTCTCAGTGCTGATCGTGGTAATCGTCGATGTGGCGACCTCCGTCGTCGTACACGTACTTGGATAACCAAAAACTGTAGTCGTTATCTAGCAGAACTGTCAGGAAATACTTATTCCATTCATTCCATGCAGCAGACTTTACCTCGCTCACTGGGCAATATCTAGGAGACTTGGTAATATATTGTCCTCCAGAATGTTTTTACGGGAACATATCTAGTTGTGGTTCTCCATCTCGTGCTGCACTGGAAGCTGTACTTAACAATCTGTGATCACGGCCTTGGGAGGCTGCTTGATACGCTCACACAACCCGTGGACCATGGTCATAATCACGATGATCAGGTGGAGCTGCCGAGACGAGTGTGGCCCCGAAGGCGAAGAGGGACGTAATGACGCTGAGCTTCATGGGTGTGAGACCGTTTTCAAACGAATGACAACAGGTAAACAAGTGGTGACGGCGATGGCTCTAGTATAATACTCCAGCAGACCGAGGGTATTTATACATACAATTGTAGAGTACACTATGCAAACTAGTCCATAGGCTTAGGCGATACCAGTTTACCGATGAGTTCTGGCCCTTCAATCCATGCCCGGAGCGGAATACTTTGTCGAATTCGAATCCTCTAGCTCAATTGCAAATTCCTGATTTACACTATCCAGCGCGGTTGCATATTTGGTAGAAGGTTTTTATAGCGTCGGCTTGAGGACTCTCTTATCCCTTGCTGCGATTGAGTTTCTCGCACTTTAACTCGGCCCTCAGTATTGAGGATTCCCCGAGTCAGATCCGCCAACCGTATAGGTACATAGAAAGGGGTTCTCTTCGTCCTAGATATTGGCGCCATGTAGTGGAACTGAGCGGCTAGTGAGACGGCTTGACGGTAGTGCGGGTTTAGCGGACTGACTGCAAATCATGATATTCCCACACGCGGCGAAGAATTAGCGAATGTGAAGCTCTATCTACCTACCTAGGTAGGTAGATATTTGACCGCGTATTTAGGTAATGGTTAGAAAGGGAGATCTTATACCCGCGCTCTGCTTGCATATCAAAAGCCATACCCATACGTACCACCTTTGCAATTAGTAGCGTAGTCCATTACCCAGAATCGTCGCCATCATTTTAGCTCCCCATAAACAAAAAATCCCCCCTCCCGGCCCTACAAAAAGCCAAAATGATTCAGCTGGGATTTGAACCCGGGTCGGGCGCATGATGCTTTTGATGGCAAGCGCCCATGATACCCCTACACTACTGAATCGAGTGATACTGTATGTACAGATAAGCGGTATATAGACAGCACAAACGAGTAGTAGGTTCGATGAATGAATTGTAAAAGGCGTGCACATACATCCAGCCCGACCCGCTCCCACAGTTTCTGTATATACATATGCATCTCCCCATCAGCCCACTCACACCCATCATCGCGTGCGTCTACGCATTCCCAATACGCCCATTCCAGTATACGTACCCGCAAACAAACGAAACGGCGCCGAGTTTTTCCGAGGCGATGGGGGCCTGAGTCCATGCAGGGTCTTGGTGGTACAGCGGGGTACGCATACGTATAGTACCTCCCCCCTATGGAGAATGCGGGGTTCTATACAGATCTAGAAGCCGTTCTCACAGGGGACTTACAATTGAAGCCGTAGGGTCGTAGGTATGCTCATAAACATCATCCTTTTCCCTGTACCCAGGTCTAGACTTCATTGCTCACATGCATTTCTCATTTACTCAGGAACAATGACGTCGTTCCCCTGTTCCCATATCTCGCATGAAATCAATACCTCAAAAGAATCTTTCTGGGCCCCGGGGGATTCTGAATTGCGGGGTAGCAGGTATATATATTAAGCGGAAAGTACATACATACATGCTGCGGGCGGGAGTTTGACACATGCAAGGCGAAACGAAGCCGGGAATGCCGTTCATGGGTTTTGGTATATGTAGAATCGTGATATGCTTGTGGAATGGTGAATGGATTGATTGAAAGGAGGATATATGTACGTAGTGTAACGGAAATATATGAAAGATCAGGATCGCCGGAAGAAGAAGCGATTCAACAGTCTGTCAGAATAGATAACTCTAGATATAGCCATGGGGGCCCGGGAACACAAAAACCTAAGTATGAAGTATGAATATTCTGCCAGGGACCCTGTCGAGCAGTCCTGGAAGAGTAATCTCACACACGAGTACTCTACTCCCGGGACGTCGATTTTCCGCGGCCTATAGCATCAATGTTTTTTTTTTCGAATTCGTGGACTTGATAGTTTAGTATGTATTGCATATTGGTGCCGAAGACGGGAGGTTAGATCACAATTAGAGGGATCACATTTCCCGAGTGATATCGATAAACTACGTGTTTCATGACATTGCCATTTTGAAATAACACATTAATAGCCAAACGTTTTGTACATCCGTATATTGTACTGTATATCTAGCACCATCTACCCTCATGTTCCTAGCCCTGGAGGTACTTCTTATGGAGAATCCCGGAAAAATCACTCGCCCGACGGTACCACCCACGTGCACGCGTTATTGGATGCCGGCCGTAGCGCAAACAAAGTCATTTTGTTTGCTGGCACAGTGTCTCGATTGCAAATATCCAAAACTGTTCCAGAGTGAAACAGATTGTGCTGGCAGTAACGTATTCTGCTAAGCCAATTGCAATCGATATCGCAAAAACTCTCTAATGTTATGTCTTTGAAGCCATGGTCAAGTAAACATATATACAGCCTGCAAACAAAACCCAAATTACCCCAGAGTATATAGCACTTGCATGCCCCGCACCGCAGCCATACCCGGCCCGGGCAGCCTGCGCGTGATCTGGGGAAGTACTTAGAGTAAAAGTTGGGAACCCGCGGGTAAAACAATTAACGGGTTACATGGGCTCGTCTACCCCGGGCACGCACATTTCGCACCCGCTAGCTAGCAGAGTGTGTTCAAATCTCGAGTGGTTTTTCTTGCGTTAATCGTTATGGTAATTGAGCAATAAATGGCCATATATACTTCCATGGCTGAAAGAAGAAAAAAAAAGAAAGGAAAGTATCATACCCCGCGGGCCGCCAAACACGTTGTAGTACAAAAAGAATCTGCACTTCAATATCACCCACCGCATCCCAGCCTATGGGCGCCCATGACGTATCATGATCAGGTAGACGTTCCAGGTTCGCAAGTACAGATGTTCGAAGATCTCTATTTCTTCCATTGCCTTTGGCACCTGTACTACCCCGCCTCATGTATGTACCTGATCAACTCGTCTCCGAGGAAAAACACCGGTACCACACCTTAGCCGCTGTCAGTAGTAGTGTTTTTTTTCTTCTGGCGGACCACTACGCCAGATCCTCTCGCAAGTGTGAAGATCCCGAGTTGAAATCTCGATCTGTGTGTTTGGCGAGGGATGCATATGCAAGTTTATGTTTACTTCGGCGAGCATTGCGGTGCCGAGTGCGATGCTGTGAGGTAGGTTCACATGTCGTCCAAGCTTAAGCTCACTGCGATACCAGGATCGGAAGGGAAGGGGGAAGGAAGGCGTGTTTTTGTTTTTGTGGGCAGACTGCACAAAACTGCGACCGAGACTAGGGGAAAAAAACTTCTCTTCCTCGTCATATGTGTACAACAAGCAAGTTGCATAGAGTACCTTCTACAGTGATGGCTAGCTCCGAAACTCAATCTC